TAGACGGGAAGGAGCATTTAGTTTGTTGTTTGAGCCGGCCACTTCGGGGTGCGGAGTTGAACTATCCCACCACTGAAAAGGAGTGCTTAGCAGTCATATTTGCCGTCCGCAAATGGCGGTGTTACCTAGAGAACATGGCTTTCACCGTCATTACGGATCACGCCAGTCTACGATGGCTTTGCAATTTAAAGGATCCGACTGGACGACTTGCACGATGGGCTATGGAACTGTTGGCCTATGATGTCGAGATAGAACATTGAAGAGGCACCCCAAACGAAGCAGCAGATGCGCTCAGTCGTGCCTACGAGTACCAATTTGAATCTCCGCTGTCAGGTATAGAACCAGACACCGACTGGTATACTGACAAGTGGAACCAGGTCAGAGAATACCCGAACCAGAATCCTGACTGGAGGACAGTGGACAATAAACTTCAGCGTCGCCGTCTTACGCCCATATTAGAAATTTTGGGGGACGATACGGCATGGAAAACAATACCAAAAGCCGAAGAAATACCCGGTATTATCGAACGGAACCATGTACCACCCCAAGCTGGACATCTTGGGACACGGATAACGTACGGGCGCGTGGCCCAAGGTTTTTATTGGCCAGGAATGTACAGAGACATAAAAGAATATGTCAGCACTTGTGAAGCTTGTAGAGCACAGAAGCCAATGTCGTACGCCCTTAATCTACCTATTGGCAACAAACCCGTCGCAGGACCATGGGACTGTATCTCAGTAGATTGCGTTGGACCATTACCCAGAAGCGTTTCGGGAAAAACAGGCATGGTAGTAATTATGGATACATTTACTAAGTACTTAGAATGTTTTCCAGTACCAAAATCAGATGCCAAACGAGTTTCGCGGTGCCTGACCGAAGTATTTAACCGATGGGGAACTCCAAAAGTGGTCATCTCTGATAATGGCACAGAATTCGTGAACAAGGACATCACGGAGCTATTGAAAGAGGCTGGTGTTCAACAACTCACAACACCAGTATATCATCCCCAGTCCAATCCAGTAGAAAGGATTAATAGGAACCTAAAGAACGCTCTGGCAATGTACGTTGGAGGGAGACATAAGAATTGGGACCAGAAACTACCGGAGCTTGTCTTCGCATATAACACGTCGAAGCACACCGCCTTAGGGGTCTCGCCGGCCTATGCAAACTCTGGCCATCATTTGCGCCCTTATGGTAAACTGAACTCCGAAAACAACTACAAAATAGAAGATCTAAGAGAACTACAGACTTCACAGAAAGAATGGCTGGATCGAATCAATCGTATAGTCGAATTCCATGATTTTATAGCCGCTAAAGTACTCCAGAACCGGAAAAAGAACCAGGATGACCCACCAGTTAACTCTAAGAACCCGGAGTTTGACGCTGAGAGAGACTTGGAACCAGGGACTCTCGTGTATTACCGTAATCGCGTACTTAGCAATACTGGAAAAGGGTTTTCGGCTAAACTAGCACCACGTTTTGCCGGACCAGTTAGAGTGAAACGAGTTCTGTCGAAATTAGTGGTAGAACTGGAGGATTTAAATGGGAAATTCGTGGGGAAATATTATGTTACGGATCTTAAGATACCTAGGCGGAGTAATCGCTTGAAAAACGCCAATGATTGAATGCCTGCTACCTACCCACGCTTTTCTTCTACTCTGCTTTATCTTCTGTCTTTCTTGCTTACCGCTTCTTGACCAAAATGTGCTTATATTCTCTTATTATTGTTCTAGACCTCTACAAGGATATGAACATTATCCCACCGTACCACCTGGCCTAAGTGAACAGGACCGGTACAAGATCGAGGCTGAAGCCGAGATCTCCCGGCTACGTGACGAGGTCGTCCGCCTGGAAATCAGGAACCAGCAGCTGCGACGAGAAGTAGAGGGCCAAGCCGACCTGAGGCGGGAGCGTCGATCCCTAGAAGCGGTCGTAGAAGAACTGAAGGCGAACCTCGACCGAATGCGCCATCAGCTGAGGGAGGAAGCAGCTGCCCATGAGAGGGAGTACGAACAGGCGCTCTTGAACAACCAGCGTCTGCGCAGGCAGATCGCCACCCTCCAGGACCAGTCAACTCTTAGGCCGAGTACCAGTGGCCTAGAAGAGAAGGTGCGCTCCTTGGAGCAACAACTGAGGGGTCGGGAGACGGACCTCTCCATGATAGCCGAGGATTACCAGCGCCTTCGGCTCCGCACTAGTGTCCCAGAGAACTCGGTGGGGACCCAGACCACCGTGTGTATGATGCGGCCACAAGCCTTTATGGGCTGTATCAACTGCCGCCAGACCGGACACGTCTACAAGAGCTGTCCCACCCCGGCCAGACTGGACTTTTGCCGGATTTGCTTTTTTGACGGCGCCGCCACCGGGAACTGCCCCTACAAAGACTACCACAATAAGGAGAGGGCTGGATGCTGCAAAGGGTGTGGTGGGCCTGATTACTTGTTAAACCCGTTATGCAAGGTATGCCGGGATCGGATCCCAGAACATGCACCGCCTCACATCAACATAGGCAAAACCAAAAAATTCACGGGGAACGCCCCTGCACCAGAAGCGCCAGGACCATCCAACCAGAACCAGATCGTGCTCACTTCGGGGAAGGTCATTAACCTTCCGACACCAAGGCGTTAGTAGTCTGGAGAACCAGCAGACTAATAAGCCCCTCCGCTGGCAGCAGTATTTTTTTTCTTCTCGCTTCATTTATTTGTATTTTTTCCTTTCTTTTTCTCTTTTCTTTTTCTTTTGTAATCAATTATTGCCATTATTGATAAGCTATGAGTACCTGTGGAGTACCTGATTAATGACTAAAGTTTGGTTTTTTTTGATAATTTGGAAACTTATTTAATAAAACCCGACCTTCAAGTAAGGGCTAATCACCTGGCCGAGATTTTGGCGAACACAAGTAAGCTCAAAGAACCAGGGCATTAGGCCATTGTTATGTAATAAATCCGAATGATTGAGTGTGATGCATGAGCGAGCTATCCTTTTACTAGCCGTTCCTTACCTAGGCCCGAGACGGAACTCTACGTTGGACAGAACCCAGATTTCTGCGTAGTCTGAACCAGATCCCCACACCGGACCGAACCAGATCACCACCATGAACCGAACCAGACTTCTAATTGGACAGGGCTGACTTCTACTCTAGGAGGGGGCAACTGTAACGAGGCGAGTGAGTCGATTGTCACTCAGCCCTTCAGGAGGTCGATACGTTATCGACCTGTCGATTGATAGTTGACCTAATTTACCAATTAGGTCAAGCTAGTTAATTTTTGACGGCGCTGTAATCACCACGTGGCCAGCAGGCTAAATTATTTCCGGAAGGACGCCATTGTGGATATAGTCTCGAACGAGAATACACGTGTGCTTGTGTCTCTTTTGGAAAAAAAATCTGCAATCACCTTTTTCTCCGACGTTGCGGAGCGTGAACTGTTCACAAATTAAGGGTAGAAAGTCTCTCGACGTTGCGAGAGCTTAAGTGAAGTGGTAAATTCGCTACCAATAGTTGGATCCCTCGACGTCGCGAGGTGAATACTTTATTCTTTGTTGGTTGGAGTGTCCAGTGGTGAATCCAGGAAGTTCTGTGGCTGTTCCTGTACCAATTTTTGGATGTCCAGACGAGTATACAAGCCCCGGTGGACCAGGGGGCTGGGCTATCTCGAAAAAGAGGAGCTCCCGTAAGCCTGAACATCTTCATTCTTTCTTCTATCTCTTTTCCTTCGCTATATTCCCGAGTGCGTGTGAGTGCGAGAGAGAGAGAGAGTGAGTTTAGTCTGGTACCAGTATATGCGTTGAGAACCATCTGTCCTTCTTCCTCTTGGAGGAATTCACTTTGTTTGAAAATAAAAGGCGTCGAGAACGTTCTCGCGAGTAATCGCCTACTTATTATTATTATTATTATTGTTGACATTGAACTGGGTATCAAAGTTTTGGAAGATGTCTTAGAATGTCCCGCTTTCCCCTGCACTTAGCCACAGGGCCTTTGTACAGGGTCTGTTTGCACAGTAAAGGCGGTCGTCTTATGTCTTAGGCCTGCAGGTTCCCTAGGTTCCCAAGTTGCCTTGGTTCCCTTCTGAGCCCCGAAACAGTCCCTGTCGATTTCCAATATATATATTATGGTGGTACGAAAGAACGTTATTTCTGCCTTTGAAGATTCCGCTAAGCCCCATGGGTCCCCCGGTTTCCTCAGCCTTAGGTAGGCAAGATCTATAGGCCTGGTGTCAACCTAAGAGGTCGTCCCAGTTCCACAAGAAATCGTCCTACCCTCGGAGATTCTACCGGTTACCTCAAGGGTCCTGGGTTTCAGACTCAGCATCAGCAAGGCTGTACTACAATGGGGTGTCGCCTGGTTCCCCAAGGGCATCGTGGCGGCAATAGCACTTTTTGTACTATTCAGTCATCAGCACGATAGCTTACGCCCTTGACTGCCCTCTGAGAGGCCTCCCGCTCATCGTGGTCAGAGAAAAGACTATATTATAAATGGGTCTTGTCTCAGCCGGGAATCGAACCCGCTACCCATAGTGCGCTAGGCTGGCACCTTACCACTTAGGCCACGATGTCGGTTGTATATCAAAGTTGCTCTTGCAATTAAGCAAACAAATAAACAAATTAAAGTAAATTCAGTTGAATATCATTATTGTTAAGCACTTATTTTCGAGTCACTTGAATTGTTTTTTTTTTAAATTACGCGTTTTGTCGTTTAATTAATAAAATCTCACTGGTTTTACGTTCAATAAAATTAAAGTTTTGGAATAATTATCAAACTGCTTGCAAATAAAATTAATTATTGAATAAAACTTTTGTGGAAAGTTTATTTGTGTTCGCGCGAGACCTTTTTTTCTCGCGGTTTTCAGGTGTATCAGAGCTAGCCAGCTTTTCCAGGTTTCTCGTTTTGAGGCCAAAAAACGAGTGGCGTCCACAGGTAGGATTAATCATTGGTAAATTTTTGTTGGGTAAATTTCAACTTTTTCAACTTCAAAAAGCAGTGTTAACTTGTATTAATCGTTATGGAGTATTTAGGAGTGACTATGGTGTGTCGTGTTGCAGTAGAGGTTATGTGTGAACCGTGTGATAGTGATTCTGACGATAATGATGTTCTTGTGAGCTGTTTTGGTGGTAATCAACAGGGAGAACGAATCGTCAGAGTATTAGGTTATGTTGAAAACATTGTACCTCTTATGTCTGATGATACATTCAAGAGTCACTTTCGGTAAATTTGTAGCAAATATGTGAGATTTTCCTATATCACATCTTATTATTAATTCCAGAGTGAAACGTAGCACTGTCAATTACCTGATAAATCTACTTGGGCCAGATTTAAGGAATGACAACATGGGTAGAGATTCAATTCCTGTTTACAAGCAGGTTTTACTAGTTCTTTGGACAATGGCAACTCCTGATTCATATCGGTTAGATGTCTCTTCAAGTTTATAATTTTCAATTGATTCATTAATGAATTACTTGCATAAATGTTAATATTAGTTTTATTTCTTTTTTATTGAAAAACTCCAATTTCTAGATCAGTATGCGACCGTTTCGACGTTGGTAAAGGGACAGCTTGGCGAGCTGTTTGGAAATTTGTAAGCGCCTTATACAAATACCTACCGACATTTATCACGTGGCCTACTCAGGCTGAAGCAGCAAGAACAGCATCCTATATTGAGAATAGATACAGATTTCCTAAAGTGATAGGAGCAGTCGATGGCACGCATGTCAAAATTTGTAAACCACAAATCAATGCGCATCATTACATAAATCGTAAGGGCCAAAATAATCTCAATTTAATAACGATATTTACAAGAATGGACTGGTTACTGAGTCCAATTTGTGGAGTTGTTGTTACGGATAGTTATCAGTATTGGGCTTACAAGAATCATTTACATATTTTTGAATTCATTTTTATGGAAATAATTTTTTTATTGACAGATTATTATTTAACACATGAGTCGTGTTTCCTTCATGTCATGTATTTTAATTTATAGGTTACATGTGATCACACTTTGAAGTTTATTCATGTGTACTGTGGTGAAGTTGGCTCTGTTCACGATTCCCGAGTTTTTGGACTATCGGGTTTACAGAGTTTATGTACTCCTGCCAATTTCCCTGGAAATACCCACTTATTAGCCGACAAAGCTTATAATTTGCAGCCGTGTGTCATGGTCCCGTATATGAACAATCATCATTTGGGTGCTGCTGAAATTAATTATAATAGAATTCACTCGTCGTCAAGAATGATGGTTGAACGAGCTATTGGAATGTTGAAAGGACGATTCCGTAGCTTATGAGATAAACTTTCTATCGAACGAACTGATTTAATCCCTTATTATATTGTATCATGCTGTATTTTACACAATATTTGTATTTAACAGAATGATCTAATTGATATTCCAATTATTATTAACGGAAATGTCGAGGCTCAACAAAATATTGGACAACCAGTAGTAATAACAAATAGAATGCGAATTGAGGGGCGCCTTAAACGATTACGAATAAAAAATGCATTGTAATTGTAGAACATTCCCATAAAAATCGTATCAATAATCAAATATTATTGTTAATAATGTGTATTTTAGTGAGTTTGTATACAATTAATGCATGTCAAGAATAAGTCATATGAATTATTTTGATTTTCTACAAATAGAATGTTATCAATGCGTAGATATTTATGTATTAATCATGAATATAAAATATATATATTTTCATATAACAAATAGATAAAAAAACAGAAAGTGACTTACTGGAGAAGATTACATTTCAAACTATGTTTAAGTCCTTCATAAAAAAATTAAATAAATTATAATTACTCATTGTTGGACATAAATAGATTTTATTTATATTTATGAATGAAAAAGTTCGCTTAAACTGATCTATTTTCGACACGCATTTTTTATAGGCTATGTGTCTTCTTTTATGTTTAGCCAAGATGTTATTAATTTTAATATGAACGCGTTGCAATGCTGCAGTTATGTCGTTTTTGTGAACAAGTAAATTAACCCCTTCTTTCCGATAACACTCTATCAATAAATATGTTTCTTTCTCTGTCCAGGTATGAGTTGAACCTGAAAATATATATAAAATTGAAGAAAGTCTTTTTACTTCAATATTGCATGGAAAAGTTGTCATACAACAGAAAAACTTACTGTCATCCACATTTGAAATATTTTCTTTATTAGATGACTGAAACAAATCTATTAGTTGTTTCTGAGAACAAGTACCACTAGTTGATAGATCAGGATCATCATTTCCATGATCTGAATGTGCAGCAAGGTCTTTTTCATTTGGTGCTTCTTTTATATTACTTGTTGTACTGGTAATGTAGAAATTTTTGCCTGTGAATATTTATAGTAAATAAGCAATCGTTAGAAGAAGCAGATCTTGAAGAAAAATAGGAAAAATTCATAATACCTGTCTTAATAGTTTCTACTAACACTACAGCTGCATACTCTGCATCTGAAATGTATTGAGGAAGGTCAATTTTTAGGTTAATAGCATGATAATTTGTTAACTTACCTGTTGTAGCCTTCTCATAAACCTCAGGCGTAACAAAAAGATTGTAACACAAATTTTCATTATCGTCTATTAACTGTAATACTTTTAGTTCAGATATCTTTTTAAATAATCTAAACTGGTTACCGGAATAACCACGAGTAACAATAAACAACATTGACAAATCGCGGTAATTTCATGTGATGGCATGCCAGTATAATATGGCGTTCAGAAATGACGTCACTCCCTACTGGCCAGTATACTGTTTTAGTTTGGGAACAGACAGCGAAGATGTTGGGACCAATTCAACCAAATTAGTAGAACTATTGGGTGTACAAAAAAGTTCGTCCCGTTTTTCATGACAAAAAATGTATTCATTATATAAAAACAAAGGACAATTCTTATTAAATGTAGTAACCATTAGCTTTTACTACTTTTTCCCAACGCATAGGTAGTTCATAGATTCCTTGGCGGAAGAATGCCTGGTTCTTTGATGCTATGAATTCATCGACTACTTTCCGAACATCATCTTCATTCTAGAATCGTTATTCCGCTAACTTGTTTTGCAGCGATCGAAAAAGGTAATAGTCGCTTGGTGCAATGTCTGGCGAGTACGCCGGATGGGGTAAAATTTCCCATTGTAGTTCATTTATGGTTTGTGTGACCAACAAACTTCTATGTGGTCGAGCATTATCATGTTGCAATATCACTGGTCGACGCCCATGTCCAGGATATGGCCGCTTTTCGTAAATTTTTTCAGCCAAACATTTTAATTGTAGAGCGTAACGTTCACCAGTGATAGTTTCATTTGTTTTTAGCAGTTCGTAATACAAGATGCCCTATTCATCCCACCAAATACAGAGCAATAACTTTTTACCGAAAACATTTCGTTTTGCTGTCGATGTTGTTGGCTGCCCTGGATCTACCCAATGTTTTTTACGTTTAGGGTTTTCAAAGTAAATCCATTTTTTCTCTCCTGTGACAAGTTTCCACAAAAAACTCTTCTTTTTCTGCCTTGAAAGCAATGAGAGGCAAGTGTCAACTTGTCGGTCACGTTGCTCTTCGGTCAATTCATGTGGAACCCATCTTCCTTCTTTTTGAATTTTCCCTAAAGCACATAGTCTTTCAGAAATAGCTTGCTGGGTCACGCCTAATGTCTGTGCGAGTTGATGTTGCGTTTGTGCAGAGTCTTGGTCCAATAGTTCTTGCAGTTCAGTGTCACTGACTTTCTGAGGCCTACTAGAGCGTGGTTCATCGTTCAAATCAAAATCACCGTCTTTAAATTTTCGGAACCATTTTCAACATGTGCTTTTGTCAACAACACTATCACCATAAGTCGTACAGATGGTTCTGTGAGCTTCTGCAGCACTGTGTCCTTGGTGAAACTCGTAGAGTAAACAATGCTGAATATGCACAATATTCACTTCCATTTTTATTTTAGTTAAAGAACACTCTTTTTTCGTAACAAATATCTTGAGCACGTAGATTGCAAGCAATAGTATACACTAACACTAGAATTAGTATCAAGTACAAACTTGTTTTTCAGGAGTCGCCGCCTATTGAAAACGGGACGAACTTTTTTGTACACCCAATATTTTCTAAATTATGAATTCCCAAATTATTATTATTATTAGTAATAAGATTTCTTATCTCTCTAAATAAATCTTGAGTTTCTCTTCGACCTTCCTCGAAACATTCTTCCAAACAAATTGGATCTCTGTTCAGTCTTCCTTCCAACCGATTTAACCTCATCTCTAAAGCTAGAAGTTCTCCATTAGTGTCTTCTTTAACACAATTGGCATATTGAGTTCTCCTTCCAGCTCGAGTTTGCCTACGACTTGGACTTTTTGGCATGATTTTTTTAAATATTCTATAAAATATTCACTAACAAAAATATTCACGGCATGCGAAACGAACCACTTTCTGACACCAATGTAAAATAAGACCAAATAACAACTTCGGAAAATAAATTAATATAGGAAAAGTGTATTAAAGATTGACAGCAATTGATTAAAACGAAAGAAACGCCAGGTTGAAAAACTTTCAGAAAGAAGGGAATGCGCTGCAAATATGTATCAAAGTTGAAAGTATTGGAGAAAATATGAAAAAGGAAATGGCATTAGACACCATAGAGAGCAAGCTTAAGATCAGCCTTGAAAAGATCAATCACAAATTTGAGGCTAGAAGCATGATAGTTATAATATGTGAAAACATTTGAAATAAAATAATAGCAAGGGTAAATTAGAGGAAGTATTCCAAAGACAGCAATGAGAAGCAGACAAACTAGTAAATGGCCTACGACAGGCTGAAAATTTTTGATATAATTTATTCTTAAAACATTTGGAACGTGTGACACGATAGGCTCGATCAAGAGGTTTTCTCAAGTGAAAAGTTTGAATGGAAAGTTTTTGGTGCAATTAAGAGTAGTAATGGTAAGAGAAGCCTTATGAAAATGGAGGACTGAGGTATAGTAGTATGAATTTATTTTCAAAAATATTAAGAGTAAGGAAAGCGAGATAATCATTCTTGTATACAATAATGTTATAGTAAATAAAATAAAGAAAGAACTTGGTTCAGCGACAAAAGAATGTATTACAGTATCTCAAAAAATGATGATCTTAAGTGTTTTTAATGCTTTAAGAGTAGTATGAGTTATTTACTCATCCATTGCTCTCACTTATAAGGCTGAAAAAGATTTTACGGAATAACACAATAAGGAAATGTTAAATTGTATGGATAGCATGTGGGAAATAAACGGAAGTAAACTTGCATGGAAAAGAGAGAATTCTGAGGGTTACTTCAAGGCAGCACACGATCTCTAGAGAAATACTATTGTTAACAGATGTGTAGAAAATAAGCATTCTATATATGATAGTTGAAATAAAACTACAATTACTGTAAGGAAGGCTGCGGCTAAGGCAGATCTCATCAAATCAGAAAGCAACATTCATAGAAATAGCAAATACAGGGAAGCTACGTGGTTTAATGAGGAGTGTCGAGACCTAAAAAGGAGAGTGTAAGCTGCGTTGAAGGAATCGTCTAGAAATAGGAATAAGAATAATGAAAACAGTATAGTTGACAAAATTAAGCTTAATGAATGTAGAAAAAAATTTAAGATAAGTGTTGAAAAAGCCAAAGAAGAGTGGACTAAGGAAAAGATTGAGAATTAGCCAAGGACATGTCGAGATGGTGGAAAATCATCAATTCTTTTAGAGTAAAGCGAAGAGAAAAAATATTGATAAAAATTTCAGGCAGTAAATGGAATAAACACTTCGAGAGACTCTTGAATGGCACATTGGGAACGCAAGATAGAAATGCTTATGAGAGAGTATTAGAGTTCTATGAAAAAGCAAGAAGAAAGATGAATGCGCTCGATGGGCTAGATATTAATATCAGTTAGCCTTGAGGAGAAATGGAAATATTATAGAGGTGTATCGCTGCTGGACGTTGGAAACAAGTTGCTCACCCCAATTATAGCCACAAGCTAAATATTTCTTTTAAACTCATTAATTGATGATAGATCTAAAGTAAAGGGTAGTAAATTGTGCCTGGTGTTCATAGATTTTGAAGCGGAATTTGATTTCTTATGATACTTAACCAACCTATATTAGATTTACTAACAGAGCTGAGTCCATACGTGTGTTGCTATGCCTATCGTTCATGAAAAATATCTCATATTCATGGCATCATAACGTCACTAGCCCATTGTGACTATCTTTAATAATATTAATATTGTTCAAGTACTTATTAACTGCTTGATCACTCTCTTTTCCGTTGCGCTGCTTATAGGTGTTTATTT